ATTTTCTTCCATTCTGTGGGAGAAATTTTCACTCCAGAAAAAATTTTGAGATAGCTGTTACTTTTCAAAGACTGCGGACACTTTTTAATAAGGAAGATTTTTATTAAAGGAGTATGCCATTAAGGTTTGTTTTTTCAGTTTGTCATTTTACTCTTTCCTGATAATGTGTGTGTACATATATGTATAGATTTGTATATATTTTATATGTGTGGATATATTGTATATGTTATATCACATATATTATGACAATTTATTTTGCAATGTATATTAGTGGCATATTCGTATATTAGACAAACAGACTGAACTCAAGTAACCATAAGGCAAGCACTATTGGACATACCATTAAACTAATCAAGCCACCGTAATGAAACTTTAGATACATCATTGGTACTTTCAGTTTATTCTTAACAAAAGGAAAATTTAGGCATAAGAAAAAGTCTTCTTTTAGTTTGTTATGACTCAGATGTTTGGTGGTTGAAATCTTAAGTCTGGGCTTTTTATGTATTCAGATCGGTTTCCCATCTTTCACTCCAGCCATTGCCTCTACTTCTTCTGTCATGTGGCTTTCGTGAGTGGTCATCCTCAAGGTGGGTCCTCTCATCCATGCAACTGTGAGCTAAATCTCCACCAGGAGAACCCCTTTCGAGAGACCTCTTTTCAATGAGGAAAGAATCCTACTGGGAGTTTCAGAAACTTGTATTGTACAGAGTACCAATAAATTTTTGGATAGGTGGAGGCATTTTCCACTAAGTGATTCCTAAGACTGGATGCCCAGTTGAAGACGTCTCAATAATGCCATGCCAGGAAATGATGCTTATTCAGTTCAGCCCTGTGCTTTGGATTGCTGCATTGTTTATACACTGGATTCTTAGAGTCTTGTCTCACACCAACTATGATGACTTCATTGTTATTCCGTCCCCTCTCTAGTTACTCTTGAATTTTATCCCTTGCCTTCCCTAAAGTAAAGGGCTCACCTGTCTCCTAGGCACTCCATCCATTCATTTAATCAATATTTATTTGCATCTATGATGTGCATTGGGACTGCCACAAAATGATGAAATGGTAGTTTCAGCTCCCAAAAGTTCATAAGCTACCGGAGTTACAGGCTGGCAATTCCAACACAATATACTAACCACCATAACGGGGATTTGGCCAATGGAAGCAGAAACAAAAATGATGCCTTAAGCTTGAACAGGGGCAAACCCAGGGAAGACTTCCTAAAGGAAGCAGTGGTTTAGCCAAAACTAAAAGTCTGTAGGAATTTCCTGAGTGGAGGGCTGGATGGTAGGAAATTCCAGCCAAGAAAGTATAGGCTGGACGGTGTGGCTCAGTGCCCTGGGAAGAATGGTAGAAGATAAAGCAGGATGAGTAAGCAGAAACTTCTTTGTGAATAGCATCCTATGCTTAGATTTTTTCCTTATGGGAGGAGAAAATGGGAGGATTTGGAGGATGGTGACAAAAACACATTTGCATATGAAAGATAATTATTCCAGGATGGATTTCCAGGAAAGGGTGAGACTAGAGATCAGGAGACCGGTTAGTAGATGATTGCTGCAAGTAAGCGGTAGAGCCAAATACAAATCCAGTGACCTGGCTCCAGACTGAGTACTCTTAAGCACGACCTAGGCTGCCTCTCTTGCACAGAGTTCAGGAGTGGAGGCTCAGAAGGCCATCTGCTTGGGTTCAAAACACTACTCTGACCCTTAGGTGGAGTGGGATTTTTGGCAGATCAATTTGTGTGTGGGGGGGAAGATTAAGTGGATAAATATTTATAAAGTCCCAGTAACAGTGTCCAGTATATAGTAAGCGTTATGTGAATGTTGGCAATGACGACGATGATGGTGATGGTTATTGTGATGATGATGGCAAATGTGTCTCTCAGCAGCTCCCATGGGAGGCAGCTCAGCTGGTGTTGACACTTTGCATCATCAATTTCCAGTACATAATGGATTTCTGGAAATTGTTGGAACTGATCAGTTGCTCTGGATAGGAAAGTGGAGTCATTTGTCAAGTTCTCCTGAGTATGACCTTGACAGTGTATTGGCAGTGAGGTTTCCAGTGAGTTTCTGGAACACTAGGTATACCATATCCAGAAGCAAGTTGAACTTTTCCAAAAGGCAATGCATATAGATGGTTACCTGATTACCTCCTGTTGTAGGGTTCTCAAACGCTGGGGAGCATCAGAATTGCCTGGAGGATTTGCTAAAACAGATTGCTGGTTCTCACTTCCAGAGTCTGTCATCAGTAGATCTGGGGTGGGGTCCAAGAAACTGCTTATCTAACAAGTTCCAGGGTATGCTCATGCTGTGGTCTGGGGTCCAGATGTGGAGGACCGCTGCACCGGTGTGTGCTCTGCAGCTGCTCACTGAAGCATTCCCAGCTTCCTGCTGCACCCCAGACCCTCCCGCTGAACAGCTCTCCACTCCCTCGCTGCGTACATGCTCCGGCTCTGACCCTCCCGGGGGCTGTGTGCTGCCTGGATCTTTTCTTCATCTGTATCGTCAAGAGATTGGCCCAAATCCCCAGGCCTGCAGAATCAGAATTTAGAATTTCTATGGCCGGGGCCCAGGTACTTGCATTTGACCAAGTGCCCGGGGGATTCTGATCCTTATTAAGAGTCTGAGAGTTACAGGACTAGATATTCCCAAAACCCTTCCAGCTCCAGCACTGCAGGATTCCAGACTCCCTCCATGGGAAGCTCCCATGCTGCCTCTGAGGCCAGGTTCTGCCTTTAAAAAAAACTGAGATACAATTGACAGAAAAGATTATGTTAGTTTCAGGTGTAAAACATAACGATTGCTATTTGTATGTATTGCACAATCATCACCACAAGTCTGGTTAACACATGTCACCACACATCGTTACAAATCTTTTTTTGTGATGAGAACTTTTAAGATCTATTCTCTAGCAACTTTCAGATATGCAATACATACATACATATATATATATATATATATATATATATATATATATATATATATGTAGAGAGAGTCACCATGTTGTACATTACATCCCCATGACTATGTTTTCTTTTATTTAAACTGAAGTATAGTTGATGTACAATATTAAATAAGTTACAGGTGTACAATATAGTGATTCACAATTTTTAAAGGTTATACTTCATTTATACTTATAAAACATTGGCTATATTCCCTGTGTTATACAAAATATCCTTGTAGCTTATTTCATACATAGTAGTTTGTATAACTATTTTATCAGTGGAAGTTTCTACCTTTTGACCCTCTTATCCAGGAGCTGCCTTCTGATGGTGCGAGATGGAGCTACCCCTTCTGACCCTGCTTATACTTGGGGCCCAGGCGCCTCCCACCCAGGAGACAGAAATCAATCAGCGGAATCTGCTGGAATCTCAACTTTACGCACCCCTCTTGATAACACACGCATTCACCCCGTGCTCTGATGCCATCCTCCTGCACATCTCCCATTTCTCTGGCCCTCGCAGTATGTTTGCCTGATCTGCCCCAGCCGCCTCTGCCTTACATATTCTTTTCTAAGAGGCAGTCCAGGCCTGCCCACCTCCACGCCCCGAGTGGGCTAGCAAACCTTCTTTACCTGGTGATTCCCGCTCAGCTGGCAGTTCGGGGCAGGACCAGTACAGATGAAAATGGCTGAGAAACCGGTGAGCCAGCTGTTTAGTGAGCATTTACTGTGCCCGTGTGACATCCAGTTCTGTTCCAGGCACTGGGGACACATCTCTAAAAAGACACAGACCCCACCTTCAAGATCTTACATTCTAGTGGGCCAAAGACAGAAAATAAATGAGTAAACAACAAATAAAAATGAGGATTTTGGATGAGGTTGACCAGGAAGGAATCTGTGAGTCCCTGCCCTACAAATGGCTTCTCACTGTTGCACTCCACAGTCCTGTGGAAGTGGACGCATTATCCTCGTCTTATAGAGACGGGACCTGAACTGAAGCTTGGAGATAAGTAACTGACTGTGGGAATACATAAATACTGGCAATACATACAGTTCCCACAAAACAGGGAACTCTAAGTATGTTGTTAAGTGAATACAGTATCACTGAAGAGTATTCACAAAAGGATTTTATAGATAGGTTTTGATCATATATTATGGATATATATGTGTGTGAGTATATATGCATACATATATATATATGTCATGGTTATATACATGTGTCTATATACACACACAGGAAAAAGATCTGAATGAACATACACTAAAATTTCCATTGGGAATATCTCTGGAGAGGAGAGTGGAATTGCTGGGAGTGAAGGAGGACCAACCCTTTTTCTTACCTTGTTCTGTATTGTTTGAGTTGCCTAAAATGAGCATGTATTCATGCAGTCCTTTCTTTTTTAAAATTTATTTATTTTTGGCTGTGTTGGGTCTTCGTTGCTGTGTGTGGGCTTTCTCTGCTTGCGGTGAGCAGGGCCTACTTTTCGTTGCGGTGCGCAGGCTTTTCATTGCGGTGGCTTCTCTTGTGGAGCACGGTCTCTAAGCATGCGGGATTCAGTAGTTGTGGCTCGAGGGCTCTAGAGTGCAGGCTCAGTAGTTGTGGCGCACGGGCTTAGTTGCTCCATGGCATGTGGGATCTTCCTGGACCAGGGCTTGAACCCATGTCCCCTGCATTGGCAGGCAGATTCTTAACCATTGTGCTACCAGGGAAGTTCTTGCATTCCTTAGTTTAAAAAAATAAATAAAATATTTAAGAAACCTTCTTCTTGTCAACATCCATATACAGTCAGTGTTGCTGGAAAGAGATCTGAATGTGGATCTAGTGCCCTTTTAACCCCACCACATGTCACCCCCAGGCAGACGTGGAGGCACTGTGATGCTCACTCTTGGGTAGAAGAATTGTGGGTGGGACACCCCGGTGGGAGAGGCTAGGACATCAGAAGCCAATCTGCATGATTCTGCAACTCATTGGAATCACTTGCTGCTGAATTGCCTACAGCTCTCTGTTTTGGAAAAAAACAGGCGACTCTGACATTTTTCATTTGTGAGTTTGATTTTTCATCCCATAGTTAACTAAAGGATCACAGACCAAAGTCTGTCAACATCCCTAGGGAATCTGGGCAATGAATGCGAAACAAACTACTTTGGCACCTCAGTGATTCTGATAACTGCGGCCAGCCAGGGTATGGAGGGTTGGTGTGTCATTCTCTAATTTGAATTTTCAGGATCTGTTTCCTGCCACTTGGCCCGCTTGCTGGCTGTTCTTATCTGTAATGCTGGGCTACAGGATGGATCCCTGGAACGAAAGCCTGGTGAAAATGACTGGGCAATTCTTAGGATGAGACAGAAGGATACATTTATAATACTTCAGGTTGCTGAGCAGCTTCTGTACCATTAAAGACAGTTTTTGCAGTGGGACAGGTAGGATTACAGTGACACATTACATAACCACCTTCTGAGGGAGGGCAGGTACATTTCAGTGGCAGAAAAAGACAATCACTCTGTTCTACCATGATTAACTGCTATTAATGATTTAAATGTTGCCTTATCATATTACATCATGTATTTCTGCTTACATCCAGTGACCTACATAAGGAAAGCCTTAAGTACTAGGCTTTTGGTCAAAATAATCTTTTCTTAAAAAAAAGCATACATGCTCAAATTCCAACTAAATTCTTTCACTGAGATCTATTAGAATATTTCTTTTTGAGGCTTTCAAGTATTTTAGAATAATAGACATAAACATTAATCTTAGCAGCATGTTGGTAATGGTGGCAGGCTAAGCATTTTGTCTCTATTCAGTTCAGTTCTTGAGTTCCTACTGGAGCAGAGCACAGTACTAGGCGCTAGGGAGGAAAAAGAATGCTCTTGCCTTTTCACTGTTTAATGGAGGATTAAACAATTACACGTGTATACTGCAAACTGAATATTTAATGTATCAGAAGCAGTACAAAATGCGACAGAGGCTGAGCAGACAGAGGGAGCGTTTTTGTGTGGTTGTGGGGTGTGGAGGGGTGTTAAGGGGGAGGATGGTGATTCGACAGGTGTGGCTGAGGGAAGGGACATCTGTTCTGGAGTCGGGGAAGCCGATGTTTTGGGTCCGTGTGAAGTCACTGCAGAACAACTCCCATGAGGCTGGTCTCGAAACACTTCTTCTCATTTCCATCCAGAGGCTATCTCCTGACTCCCACAGACATCCTGTCTTAGAGGTAATGGTCATATCTCAGAGCTCACTGTGTGTGAAATGACGGAGAGGCAGCCACCAGGGCTGAGCTTCAAGATGGGTTCATTTCCTTCATTCTCTTCGTTCTCTGGGGAAGGACTGGATGTGTCAGTTGGTAGCTTACAGAAGCCCACTTTGGCTCTTTCAACCTACCAATGCTGCACATCTGCTGGAGTTAAAGTAAGCCGAGAAAAGCTGGACTTCTGGCATCTCTTGAAATGAGAGTCGGGCAGGGGATGGGTGTTGCTGTGCCTGGGAAAGTTTGTACTGTGAACCGGAGAGGCACTGGTCACACAGTGCGAGGGTAACGTATTAGTTTTAGGAAGTGGGGTGCAGGGTGGTCAGGGCTGAAGCCAAAATGTCTTTGGTCTTTGTTCTCTAGAAGTAGGGTGGTCTGTGGGGAGCAGGCTTAAGTGACAAACATCTTTGCTAGGCAAATTAGGCTTGGGGGAGGTCTTGCCTCCCTGGTACGTGAGTGGGGACGCTTCAGAAGTAACTCAGGACATCCAGTTTCCCATAAAAGCGGTCCCCAGGATTTCTTCTGTTCATTTCCCTGAATGGCGTGAGGCAGGTTACACGAGAAATAGTTCATCAGATGTCAATCTCCTAAAACCTTGCTCTTTTAATCCATATCACCAAGAAGGCACTGAGCGGCACATTTCTGCCTTTGAAGCAAGTCTCAGTGGGGCTCAGAGGCCGAAAAGCACCTGATTGCCGGACACCGTGTCAAGAAAGATGGTTAAACTTTTACTGAGTTGAGATGGGAGCAAGAGATAAGTGAGTATTCTTCCCACTCCCTGCTTTATTTTATTATTATTATTTCTAACTGGAATATAGATGACTTACAATTTTATATTAGTTTTAGGTGTACAAATGGTGATTTGATATTTTTATAGATTATACTCCATTTAAAGTTATTATAAGTATGGACTACATCTCCTGTGCTGTGCAATATATCCTTGTAACCTATTTGATACATAGTAGTTGGTACATCTTAATCCCTTTTCTCTATCTTGCCCCTCCCCCACCCCTCTCCCTACTGGTAACCCCTAGTTTGTTCTCTATATTTGTGAGTCTGTTTCTGTTTTATTATATTCATTCATTTGTTTTATTTTTTAGATTCCACATATAAGTGAAAACAAACAGTATTTGTCTTTATCTCTCCAACTTATTTCACTAAGCATAATACCCTCCAGGTCCATCCATGTTATTGCAAATGGTAAAATTTCATTCTTTTTATGGCTGAGTAATAATATTCCATTGCATATATAAACCACATCTTCTTTATCCATTCATCTGTTTATGGACACTTAGTTGCTTACATACCTTGGCTATTGTAAATAATGCTTCTATGAACATTGGGATGCATGTATCTTTTCTAATTAGTGTTTCATTTTCTTTGGATAAATATCCAGGAGTGGAATTGCTGGATCATATGATACCTGTATTTAAAATTTTTTTCGAGGAACCTCCATACTGTTCTCCATAATGGCTGCACCAATTTACATTCCCACCAACAGTGCACGAGGGTTCCCTTTTCTCCACATCCTCGTCAACACTTGTTATTTGTTGTCTTTTTGATGATAGCCATTCTGACAGGTGTGAGGCGATCTCTCATTGTGGTTTTGATTTGCATTTCCCTGATGATTAGTGATGCTGAGCATCTTTTCATGTGTGTGTTGGCCATCTGTATGTCTTCTTTAGAAGAATGCCTCTCCAGGTCTTCAGCCCATTTTTTAATCAGGTTGTTTGTTTTTTTGATATTGAGTTGTATGAGATCTTTATATATTTTGGATAGTAATCCCTTATCAGACATATTATATGCAAATATCTTTTCCCATTCAGTAGGTTGTCTTTTAGTTTTGTTGACAGTTTCCTTCACCGTGCAAAAGCTTTTAAGCTTGATTAGGTCTCATTTGTTTATTTTTGCTTTTGTTTCCCTTGCCTGAGGAGACAGATCCAAAACAAATATTGCTAAGGCCAATGTCAAAGAATGTATTGTCTATGTTTTCTCCTAGGAGTTTTACGGTTTTCCATCTTACATTTAAGTCTTTAATCCATTCGGAATTTGTTTTTGTATATTGTGTGAGAAAATGTTCTAGTTTCATTCTCTTACATGTAGCTGTCCAGTTTTCCCAACACCATTTTTTGAAGAGACTGTCTTTTCCCCACGGTATATTCTTGTGTCCTTTGTCATAATTTAACTGTCACAATTTGCAGATGACATGATACTATATACAGAAAACCCTAAAGTCTCCACCCATAAACTATTAAAATGAATAAATCAATTCAGTAAAGTTGCAGGATACAAGATTAATGTACAGAAATATGTAGCTTTTCTATATACTAACAATCAACTATCAGAAAGAAGAAGCAAAAAAAAATTCCATTTACAACAGCACCAAAAGGAATAAAATACCTAGAAATAAATTTAACCAAGGAGGTGAAATATCTATACCCTAAAAACTGTAAGACATTGATGGAGGGAATTGAAGATGATACAAATAAATGGAAAAATATCCTGTGTTCATGGATTGGAAGAATTAATATTTTTAAAATGTCCCTACCACCCAAAGCAATTTACAGATTTGATGCAATTTCTATCATAATACCCATGACATTTTTCACAGAACTAGAACAAATAATCCTCAAATTTGTATGGAACCACAAAAGACCCTGAATAGCCAAAGCTATCTTTAGAAAAAAGAACAAAGCCAGAGGAATCTTGCTCCCTGACTTCAAACTATACTACAAAGCTAAAGTCATCAAAAGAGTATGGTACTGGCACAAAAACAGACACATAGATCAATGGAACAGAATAGGTAGTCCACAAATAAACCCACACACATATGGCTGATAAGTATGTATTCTTATCTTTGTTGGCCTCTTTGTTTTTAAAACAAACAAGTATAAAACATGTATTATAATTTGTCTAATCTTGGTTATTAGAAGACAATTTTGGGTGTCTTCCATGGAGGGAAGGGACTAAGAAACAAGGGAAGGTACCAGAGACCTGTGTCTTCCCAATAGTGTCTCCTACACTTCATTCTAAACTTTAAACCTTCATCTTAAACCTAAAAGTATTCTCTAAGCTTTATTTCATTTTCTGTGCAAATATTGCTGACACTTCTTTTTATTATTTTTATTGATTTATTTTACTAATATTGATGATAACTTTAGAAATCATTTTGTATCACTCTAAGATTCTGGGTTTTTAAAATAAATTAAAAAATTTTTGTGTAAAAAATAGGCTTTTATTTCAAAAGATAGGTAATTTTATGCAAATATTCTTGATGAAAACGGACAACTCTCTCTGATATTTTTCAGTTTTGTGATTTTGATTTCCACTCCACAGTTAACTGATTGAAAGAATCACAAACCAAAGTTCATCAAGATCAGTAGTTAATCTGGATAATGAATGCAATACTAACAATTTTGACAATTGAGTGATTCTGTTAAGTGTGTAACTCTGAAAAGCACTTGAGTCAGTGGGAAGGAGAAAGTCAAGTTGGAGAGTTTGGTGAGGTGAAAATGTTAAATTATTTTCTATCACTAATGTTGTTTTTCTTACGTTAACTAGGACTTACCCTTGTATCATTCTTTCTTTGTATCTTCAAAATCATATTATTTGCATTCTGTAGTTTGTCCAGGGAAAATAATTTAATCTCTCTTCTTTTAAGCTAAATCAGAATGCTATCAGTTACCTTATTTACCTGAATTTAACAGGCATGTGAAGTTTAACTCCATGGGCTGCATGCACAACCTTCTGACATTTATTAATTTACTGAATGGTGAGTGGAGAAACAGCACTGCTGCTGTCCCCATGATTTTAGGGATTATCTCTGGTCGAGAATTGGCTTGGGCCCTAATGATTTTTTAGGTGGTTGTGTTTGTCTAGATGGGACCCGGCAGAGAGAGCATCATTCCATTCCCATCACGCCTGATTTAACTTGGCTTTGGATGATGGATTCGAACCTTTCACAGTAGATTACATCTATTTAACCATTATTTCAAGATCTTGTCTTTTTGTTTGAACAGCTTAGCTCCAGAGATAACATTTTATAGACCCATGCTCCTTCTAAACAAATGTCACTCTCATCTGGACCTATTCTGATGTCTCTCCCATGGACAATGGATTTTACTGAGTCATCCTTGGTCTGACCTTTACCGATTCCTCACTGAGTTATTCGCGATAGAGCTGGGGCCACGAGTAAAATCTCTGAGTTTTGGCCACTGATTTTCTCTGTGCAGACCAGAATAGAGCAGATAGGGATAAAGCCATTAAAGAAATTTTTCACCACCATGCTGGGGAGCACAGGCTTATACTGCATTAATGTACAAGGCAGGGGGTTTGTGTTGGAATTGAGTTTGATCCTTATTACATGGTTAGGATAAAATCTATTTGGGTAGTATAAAATTGCTAAAGTAATGTCCGTGGAAGTAAATAGCTGGTTGATAAAAGAGTTTTGGCTGGTACTTTCATTCAAGCCTCTGAACAAAATCCAGTGATAAGGGCTGGGTTAGGCCATGACACTTGGGTTCCTGGTGACGGGGTGCCAGCTTTTTGTTGTTGAGATAGTGTCCATTCCCCACTTCTTATTTGGCAGCAGAGAACAGCTCCCATGGGCCAATAAAGCCAGAGCAATTTGGAAAGTCAAAATTTAAAGCTAGAGCAGCCAATTTAGACAATTTAAGCAAAGGATTATTTTCTTTGAGTATAGGCTGTCCAAGGAGACTCAAATTCTGTGCCTGGCTCTGCTATTTTGTTTTGGCTGGCTGACTTAGAGGTTCTGTTTTTCCCCCTTCTCCAAAGTAAAAATATTGACACATATGAATTCAATGATATGATCAGGGGCGAGGGATAGATGTGATGATAGCCAGCAGATTCTGAGATTCTATAAACATCACGCTGCTTTGGGAGACTTGGGCATGATTTGATGTCTCCTAATGGGAAAGTGAAGCACCCTGGGCAGCCAGTGGAACGCTCCAGCCCTGTTCTGTCTGTTGCTCCCCTCCTTCTCTAAGAGCTGAGGCTATGTCACTGCCACCTTCAATGAAGTGTCACAGCTGTGCTTGCCTCCTGGCCAGGAGTGTGTCCTAGCTCTCATCGGGGCTCCTCTGTTCACTGATGCTCCCCACAGCTGGGACTTATGTGTGTACCCCACCTCTAGGACCCAGAAGATATGCCAGGATGTCCCCAGTTCAGTCCTCAGGAAAACCCTGAGCTTAAAAGAGGGGGTGGCTCTGTGTACCAGCAGACCGTACACTTGATACAGGAATTAAGAAACCTGAGTGCTCTCCCCAAATCTGCTGTGGATTTGGACTCTCCACTTGCAGAGTTACACTGCACAGCTTATGATAAAGCTATCCTTTGATCTTACGACAAGTCTCCTGCCTAACTAATTCAAGAATAATGAGTTCCAGGTACTGAGGTTAGGGGAGGTGGTTGGAAACTCCTTGGCCTGAGCTTCTTATTTCCCCTGAAAAGACTTCCGTTAGTCACTCTCCAGGTGCCTCCACTCATACTATTGAGATATGGGCTGGTCAGCTGGGTGTGGATCAGCCCTTCCTCAATCTCTCTACTCATTCCAGTCTGCTTTTCCATTTTATTTTATTTTATCTATTTTTATTGGAGTATAGTTGATTTACAATGTTGTGTTAGTTTCAGGTGTACAGCAAAGCGATTCAGTTATATATATATATATTCTTTTCCAGATTCTTTCCCATTATAGGTTGTTACAAGATATTGAATATAGCTCCTAAACCCTTGTTGATTA